AAAATAAGCAGAGGCAAATGACTTTCTCTGACTCTCTGTTTCTCTGCGAATCAAAAGCTATTCATTTCCCACTTGGCCCTGGTAACTTCTTGGACCTCATCCTTCTCCTCAGCCACAGGTACCATCTCAGTTGGTCCTGCTGCCCCTCCTCCCCTCTTCAGATTTCAGGACAATTCTAGAGCCAGTTCTCCCACCTGGCTAGGGTGAGAGCGTGGAGCTCCACCCTCAAACACCTGGGCTTTGATCTTCTCCAAAGGATAGATGACAGCAAGGGAGCATCTAGAGACCCTGGAGAGACAGGAGGGTGGCTAGAAAATGGGGATGGACAAAATGCACTTCACTTTGCACCCAGAAACAAAGACACTGCGAAGGAGCAAATTTAATAATTGCTTGTGTTTTATTGGATATCAGCATGAGGGGAGCAGGGGAGGCAGTAAAAAGTAAAGAGGATGCTAGAAAACACACTCATTGAATCTTCATTTAGCTCACACTCCATTCTTTTGATTTCCAACTTAGGGTGTTCCCCTCTGTCATTCTCCTAACCCCACTGTGACCCAGGGTTTGGAGGACTGAGGAAGCCAGCTGGGATGTTCCAAACAGAGCCAGTAGGATGAAGAACTCTGGGAGGAAATTAATTAATACCTGGGCGTAGATGAATATTTCCCCAGCTGCCTCCTGGATACCGGTTAACATTCCCCCAGCTAGTACCTGGATACCGGTTAATATCCCCCCAGCTAGTACTTGGGTATCGATTATTGATACCCCAGATTCCCACAGAGTGTGGCATGAGTCTGGTGCCCCATCCAGTTCCAGGACCTCCACTTCCCCAGGACACTCCTGGATTCAGGGTTCCCCAGGGGTGCCCGGGCATAGGTGGCTGTAGAATCCTATTAGTAAGAGAAGGTAGGTTTCGGGCAAGGATTTCTCTGTGGGCTCCCAGCACATTAGAATGGAGTGGCTGTCTAAACTTAGAGTCCTGGTAGAGTGAAGCCTCAGGTATGGGGCCTGCGGAATGTGCAGAGGGCCCTGCGGGCAAGAAACTGCTGCCCAGAGTGGGGACAATGGCACCAGAAAGGAAAGACTGTTTTTCACGCAGCACTTCCCCTATGTGGTCCTCAATGGCAGCAGCCATCATCTGCCAAGGATCCTCAGGGGGCCAGGAATCCATGGAGGGCAGTCTCTCAGTTGGGGGCCACCTCTGAACTCCAGAACCTCCTGCAGGTAGGAAGCCATCTGATGGAGAAACATTGAGCTTCAAAGGAACCCTTGTTAAATCATTTGGCCCAGGGTCTGGTTTGGACTGAGGAAGTTCAGAGTTGGAGTGGCTGGTCAGGTAAGGTTGTTCAAGCAGAGGCAAGTTGGCTCCCAAGTGTTGGATTACTTTCTCCTCCAGTGCACCAATGTTTCGGCCAAAGAAGCCTGAGGGAAAAGAAAGAGGAGGCCACAGAAGGACTGGATATTTGGTTCCAATGCCCACCTTGGATTCTCTTTGTTCCAAATTCCTTCATTTTCCCCAAGGACCCAAGGGACCCTCTTGCCTTTACCTCTTCCCTCAATTCCAGTTCCCCTGGAGCCTTCCAGTTTCCACCTGTGCAAAGGGTTGGGTACAACCTCCATACCTGGGAGATGAAGACAGATCAGAAGAAGCAGGCCCAGAGGAACTCCGCTCCCTGCCATGCAGCCCTGCATCTTGCTCAACTCTAACATCTCTCTCTCTCTGCCCCAAGACAGCCAACCCTTTATCCTCTTGGTGGGGTGAGGGACAGCAGAAACAAGCTGAGCCAGTGGTTGTGCAGATAATAAGGCTGTACATTCCACTCTCATTCCTAATTCAGTCTGTGGCAACAGGTGCCACTTGAATGTCCTCGGGAAGCTGGGTGTTTCCACCCCGGTTTCTTTCCTAAAGTTCCCCACCCCTTCCTGACCCAGGTGTCCTGGTTCACTGCTGGTCACTGATTGCCAGCCCTGCCCTGCCCACTCTGGCTTCCTACACCAGGCACAGGAGGATCTTCAACCTTGGGGTCCTGATCTCATCATTGCCTTTTCAACAATAGAAACATTCAATTCTCTTTACTTTCTCTTTGAGATCCAGATCATTCTCTTCCAGCACTCCTTTCTCATACATCCCCATAGCTCCTTTACCTTAACCACAACCTGTAGGAGCTCAGGAGTACAGAAGTGCCCCTCATTGGAGAGGCTGCTCCTAGATAAGACCTTGTATGTAAGGAAATAGGCCTGGTTCCCATCCTTAAGAGACGATGGTGTATTAATTTCCTACCACTGCTATAACAACCACAAACTTAGTAGCTTACAACAATACAAGTTTGTTACCTTACAATTTTGAAGATCAGAAGTGGGCTCCCAGCACATTGTTCTCACTGGGTCAAAATCAAGGAGTCACCAGGACTGTGTTTCTTTCTAGGGGCTCTAGAGAACCCATTTCCTTCCATTTTCTACCTTTTTTTAAAAATTTTATTTCAATTGTATTTGCCAACATACAGTATAACACCCAGTGCTCATCTCATCATGTGCCCTCCTTAATGCCTGTCACTCAGGCATTTCCTAGCTTTTAGAAGCCACCTGCATTCCTTGGCTCATGGTCCCCTTCCTCCATGTTCAAAGCCAGAAACAGAAGATCTTCTTACATTGCATCACTCTGACCTTTTCTTCTTCTTCTTTCCTCTTCCACACTTAAAGATCCTTAGGATTACACATTGACCCATCCAAATAATTCAGGATAATCTCTCTACTTTAAGGTCAGCTAATAACCTTAATTCCATCTGCAACCTTAATTTCCCTTCACTGTGTAACCTAACATATTCGCAGGTTCCAGGGATGATGTGGATATCTTTGGTGGTGCTAGGGAGGACACCATTCAGCCTACCACAGATGGTCAAATGGGTCCACAGAATATAAGAAATACTGAGAGGGAGTAGATGTTCCCAACTAATAATAGAGGAAGATGTTTAAATGCTTTTGTCAGGGACTCCTGGGTGGCTCAGTGTTTGAGCATCTGCCTTCAGCTCAGGGTGTGATCCCAGGGTCCTGGGATCAAGTCCCACATCAGGCTTCTCTGCCTGTGTCTCTGCCTCTCTTTCTCTGTGCGTGTCTCTCATGAATAAATTAATAAAATCTTTAAAAATACTAATAAATAACAAACTCTGTTGTCAAATGGCCATGAATTGATAATTGTTGAATCTGTGTGTGGGAGCATAGAGATTCATTAATTCTTTTGTCTACTCTTAAATATGTTTGAAATTTTTACAATAAAAAGTGTACAAATGCCTTCATTTTCCCTGTTGCTTCCAGGAGGCACCCAGACTAGGCTTCCTGGTTACATGAAGTCTAAAATAAACTGTTAGATTTTCCTTTTCCATCCTCATCCCCAGCTCCAGATTGCTAGCTACTGGATGAGTGGGAAGCTTTTTTCCAGAACTGGGGAGGGCAGTGTCCATTTTCAGTGACATCCACCAGATTTGCAAAAACTTTTGACCTTGACCATACCAGAGACTAAAGGAATTCCCACATCAGAGTCTGTATCCTTCCTGTAAAGCCTATCATTGGCTGAAATCCAGGGCCAGATGCCTGGCCAAGTGTGACTCACCAGTGGTAACAAAAACAGGACTATTCTGCAGCCTTTCTCTGTCTTCAATCAACCCTGCAGGTTGGCTCAGCTGCCAGGTCATTTTTGATCAACAATAGTCTTAAATTTGGGACCAGCTAATGCCATCCAATAGGAGGGAATAGATTAGATCCTAGGGTAGGGATAAATTCCTCTGTAGTCAGAGGTTCTGAGAGGTAGCCTTGCTTTGGGGTGAGGCCCTTCCTAAAGGGACAAGCATAGCTCACTCTCCTGTCCTTGGGTGATGAGAACTTCCTTGGCCTCACCCTCTCACTACCACTGCCTCAATCTCCAGGACACAGTTTGCCTGGCCCTTACCACCCTCTGCTTTCTCTCTCTTCTCCTATGGAGGCCACTCTCCTTCTTCACTATAGTGCTCTACCTCTTACCTCCCATAAGTCTCTCTCTAGAACTGCAGAAGTAGCAGCAAAAGTGTGGAGGTGGAGAGGACACCTGGCTCTGTTCTGCCATAGGCTGTGGCATTTTTATGTAGGCTAGTGAGTCACCATGCTTGACTACACTCCCTATCATGCTACCATCCTCTCTGTCTTTTATTCTCTCCACCCGTAGCTCCCAGAACAACGCCCACCTGGGCTCCCACCCAGTCACCAGGAATCTGATCTGGTTGTTGTATTCCAGCCTTCCCAAGGTTTTCCAAGTGTCCCGGAAAACCAGGAAATCAATGCTCAGATTCCTAGAGAGGATGGCATCTAGTAAGTGAGGCAAACTAATGGTAGAGAAGTAGGAACCTGCATGGGGCGGGAAAGGGAATAATTAGGGCCCTATTGAGGGAAAGGGAAATACCTCAGGTGAATGGGGAATAGAGACAGAATGGATTTCCTGAGCAGTGAGAGAGAAAAGAAATGGGAGGAAGGATCTTGGAGACCAGCCTCTGCTTTCAGTTAAACAAATATTTATTGTTTTCCCTTTGTGGGAGGAGCTATAAAGTATAAGAGAAATACTGTTCTAACTTATGAGTGAAAATGAGGGACATAAGGATCTCTAGAGATATAAGAGAGCACCGTGCAGGTCCTAAGGGGAGACCCAGGACTCCAAGATGGCAAAAGTCTCCATCTAGTTCACACAGTTTATTGAACCATCTGTCCAGGGTCCAGAGAGAGTGGGCATCTACTCCAGTGTCTGAGGCTCCCCTGGTGTCTCCCTCACACAGGGAAGCATCTGAGCATTGAAGGAAGTGGCAGCCAGGAAGGGGGTCTGAAACAGAGACCTTGAGAGGCAAAAAGGACTGTTAGGAACCCACAGAGACTGTAGTGAGCTCTACAGGGCGGGGTGGGAGTGGAATCAGGAGTGTGAGAACCCCATGGCATTGGTTAACCAGATAGATGGCAAAGAGATGTCAGTGAAAAGTGGTCATTGCTTTCAGGCAACAGTTTGGACTATGCTTTATTTGGCAAATAGAGAAAGGGGGAGGATGACGTGTCCAGGAACCAGAGTTACTATGGGACATTTCAGGGGTTTCCCAGTCAAGAATCTGAATGGGAAGGGTTAGCTACTGGATTGTACCATCTCAAAGACATGACAGAGGAAACTTTAGAGAATGGTTATCTGGCAGGGAGGGCACTGTAGTACCAGGGGAATCTAAGCAGTAGGAGAGAATGAGAAAACGGATTTGGAGTCTACAATTTTGGGAAGTAAAGAAAAAAGAGGTGTTACGGGGCATCTGCCATATTAGAGCAATGAAGGAAATAGAGCAGCTCTCTTGGGAAGGAGGAGGGAAACTGAGCTAACCCCATGCCTGGGCCTCTGGACTCCCAACTGAGATGTGTTTGTGTGTGTGCCCACACATGCATATATGCAAAAGCTAACTTATGGACTGGTAAGTGACTCTCCCTGGGGTAGGAAAACTTCAGGGTCGGCTAGCTGGGGCCCCAGAGGCTTCACTTGGGCCAGAATGTCACGGATACTGCGGCAGGGGAGCTTTCCAGAGCCGCAAGACTTGGCACCAGCTGAAGGATCAGGTTGAGGAGAACCATCCGGACCCCCACTCAATGCTGAGGAGACAGAAATGCAAGGGTGACCAGAAGAACTGGACTTGCTGCCGCAGGGCTGAAGGATGATTTTGCCACTGGATTGGGAGCTGGATCTGCCGCCAAAGGTGCCAGTGCCTGGTGGGGAACAGGGCTCCTGTGAAACACCACCACAGGGATGGAAAGATGAACTACTGGAAACACTAGAACTACTGTGGACTCCAGAACCAGAGAGGGAGCAGGGCCCCTTAGAGCCAACTCCACAGGGCTGGACCCCACCAGAGCCCACTGGCTGGAACACAATGGCTGAGGAAGCTCCTGACTGGTAGATGCTGGAACTAGAAGAGCTATGGCTGGGGATGATGGGATTGCTGGAGAAGTATTTGCCCTCAGAGATGGGGGGCCCAGCTGCAAAGGAAGGGGCACCTGGAGAGCCTTTGACAGGGTTATCTTTGGTGAAGTAGCCCACAGGATAGATTTTGCCCCCACTGTAGGTCATGCCTGGCACCAGGTAACTGTCAGAGGAGCCACCCACCACCTCATAGCTGCCATAGGATTTGTCTACAGAGGTTATGGGGGGGCAGGGCTTGCCCGGAAGGCCACCAGTGCTGCAGGGGGCACCTTGAACCCCTCCAGGGCCACCAGAGCCATGCTGCTCCACCACCACCACCACAGGCCTTTGACCTCCTGACACAGAGTGGGAGCTGGAAATGTAGGAGCCAGAATGGGAGACAATAGGCCCCCCACTGCAGGGAGAGTCAGGGACATCTGAAGTACAGGGGCGTAAGTTAGAGTTGACCCTTTGGCCACCGCTGCTGGATATCCAAGAGCTTGGGGAAGCGGATGAGCTGGAGCCTCCTCCAGACTGGGAAGAGCTGATCAGTAAACGGGAAGAATCATCACTGATTGGTAGGGCTGAGCCAGCCCCTGGCTGGGCGCTGCTGCTTCCCGACTGGGAGAAGCTGGATCCAGAGGAGTAGCTGATCTGGGAATACCCGGTTCCTGGCTTAAATAATGAAGATCCCAAAGAACCACCCTGGGCGACACTGGATCCGCTGGAGCCACCACTGGAGCCACCGGAACCACTAAGGCCACCGCCAGAACCACTGGAACTGGAACTGCTGGAACCGCTGGAGCCACTGTGGCCACTGAAGCTACTGGAACCACTCTTCCCAGTGAGGCAGGGGTCACTGGGGGAGGTGATACGCGTGTCCTTGCAGGGGTCTGAGAGGGTCGCGATGCTCTTAGCCAAGGCCCCTGGGGAGGAAGTAGTGGTTAGTAAAGGCAGAATGGCTTGGCCTCCTCCCTCAGCTTCCAAGCCCGCTCTGTCGTCTGCTTGGGATCTCTCCTGGGAGGGACCTGGGAAGAGCGCGGGGTGGAAAGGGAAGCGAGAAGTGCTGTTGTCTGTTAAGGAAAATGAGGCAGCAGAGGAAGGGCTGTTTCGGTGTTCCGGGAGGAGGCAGGGACAGGGAAAATGAGACTCCAAAGGAGGGGCTGTCAAAGGAAGAGAAGAGGGGACCAAGTGGCAGGGGCTCATAGGTCCAAGGGTCCAGGATAGAGGCAGGGCATGGGGGAGACTGCGGCTCCTCAAGAGGGCGCCTAAATCCCGAGGGGAAGAGTCCCAGGTAAGACTGAGGGACCCAGGGGAGGAGGAGACAAGACAAAACAATAAGTGGGGAAAGAAGGAAAGGAAAGGAAAGGAAAGGAAAGGAAAGGAAAGGAAAGGAAAGGAAAGGAAAGGAAAGGAAAGGAAAGGAAAGGAAAGGAAAGGAAAGGAATATGGAAAGAAATACGCGGGGAAGGAAAGGAAAGGTAGCAATGGAGATGTGAGGAAAGAGGCATCCAGGGGCTGGGGGACTGAAGTTAGGGTTCGGGTGCTGGAGGACTGAGATTCCATCACCAGCCGCCTTGAGAGAGTCCGGGCTTGGGCAAAGGGTGGGAGCTCTGATCCCATCTCAGTGCTGCCAGTGCCAGGAAAGCTGGGCGGGGGCCGGGATATGGGGGCACCGCTGGTGCTTCAGAACCTGCTAGTTCAGCGCAACAGGACACCGCACCCAAGCCAGCCCTGGGTCCTGGCCCAGCCCAGGCACCGGAGGAGGAAACCTCCAAGGCTCACATCCAGCATCTGCTTCCCTCTCTCTGCACCCAGCCATCACACATGCCTCCTGCCCCCCGGGGCTCCCACCCTTAGGTCCTGGCAGGGGTGAGACCACTTCTTTCTGTTACCAACCCTGTGCCTCTCCTCCCAGGCTCACCTCACCCTATCCTTCCTCTGCTCCCCATCTCAACTCCTGCAGGTCCTGAGCAAGTTCTAAACCTCTCCAAACTTTAGTTTATACATTCGGAGGGGCTGAATCTGTCCCCCCACAAGCAGTGTCCGTGATGTCCCCATCCTCTCCCCAAAGAGAAGTCCTGTGTCCCCCTCCATACCAAAGCCAGCTCTGTCCACAGCCCCCCTCACTCGGCGGCGCTGCTCACAGAGAATGCCTCCTCTCCTCCTCCGCTCCCAGCCACGGCCCCAGACCGGGGCAGGCTCACCGCTCACCTGCTGGTCCACGGCACAACCCCAGATTGGATTCCGGCTTTGCCACTTTCTAAGTTGTGATCTTGAGCCAGTTTCTTTTCTTTTCTTTTCTTTTTTAAGATTTTATTTATTTCGTCACAAGAGACACAGAGAAAGAGGCAGAGACACAGGCAGAGGGAGAAGCAGGCTCCGTGCAGGGAGCCGGATGTGGGACTCGATCCCTGGACCCCAGGATCACGCCCTGAGCTGAAGGCAGACGCTCAACCACTGAACCACCCAGGCATCCCTTGAGCCAGTTTCTTAACCTGCCCTAGCCTCAGTGTCCTCACTGGTACAGTGGGAATAACGAATCTCATACTGATGATTGTTCTGATGATCAAAAGTGCTAACGTGAAGTGCTAGGATAGTGTCTGACACATGAAAAGCCCTCTGTAAATGGTAGCAGTTACTACTATTAAAATCCGGTCTTCATCTTCTAGTGCTCTGATAATTGACAAGAGCAATAACAACAGTAACCAATATTTATATAACTCTCTAGGATTCCCAAAGCACTTGTCACATACATTATTTAATTTGAGACTCAGGAAGACTAGAGGTAGTCTGGTTGTGGAGTTTCAGGAAGTTGGATACCTTGCCTGGAGTGACAAGGCAGGGAGGAGCAGCCCTCAGACTCAGGCATCAGATGCCAGAGCCCATGATCTTTGCCCTTCCTGGGTCGTCTCGGGGTTTCTCCCTGGATGGTGATTCCTCCCAGCTCCCAGCACCCAGAGCACTGGAACCCTCCAGCCTCCTGTGACCTGGTGTCTGCATCCCGCCTCTGCCACAGCTCCCCGTTCTCTGACTCCCAGGGTCCCAGCCTCCTACCTGGCAGGAGGAGACCAGCCAGCAGCAGTGCCATCATTCCTCGCCCTCCCACATGCCCCTCCTGGGGTGCCTGCGAGGAGCCCATCTTGGACTGTGCAGCCTTCTAACAGCAGCTCGTGGACACCCAGGGCCTTTATGCCAGGGCTGGACATTCTCCGGGCAGGAGTCACCAAGGGGAGGGGCAGGGAGGTGAAGGGGCAGGTGCCCGGGGCACCTTGGTGTGGCTGGGAGGAGCTCAAGTAATCAGCTGGGGCATCTGCCTACTCAGCGGCCGAGGTGGCTCGGTGCGGGGTATCCGCGGCCACGGGGCCTCCAACAATCCTGCCTTCCAGCCCGCTGACGGGCCTGCCCATGGCTCTTCATTGCTTCACCTGGAACCAGGCACTCTGCCCACTCAAGCGGCCACTCTCCCCACAGACCCAGTCACCTGGCTCCTGTCCCACTCCCCATCCTCCTCCCATGCACAGACGTGGACATTCAACTTTCCCAGGTATCTGCTCTGGCCCCCCACCGCTACCCCGTGGCTAACCCCACCTGGCTTCCCATCCATGGTCCCTGGATCTGCCCCTTTCCTTGGGATCTTTCCCTCAGCCTCCACTTTCCTCCTGCAGCTCAGAGAATCTGCCCTGCACCCCCAGGACCCCCTGTGGTCACTGTCCGGGTCGCACGCCTGCCACATGCCTAGTATGTGTCCAGCAATGAATGAGTCCTCTACCCTCCTACCCACTAGGAATCTGCACTCCGAATACCAGCTCCCTGACCTCTCCCTTCCGGGGGCGCTCCTGGGATAAGGTGAGGGGTGCTGGGTGCCAGGGCCTCAGCCTGGGGAGAGGCCTGGGCTGGGAGCCCCTGTCATAGCTGGGTCTGAGGTTACTCACAGGCCACTCATGGCCTCTCCCCCACAGCTGGTGACCCTGACTCCCAGGCGTGAGCCAGAAGCTAATGAGGCTAATTGGGAAGGTGGTGGCCCTGCAGACCATTAGCTGGCTCCCTGGCCTGGATGAGGGGACAGGAAGCAGCCAGCCCTGGTCTGAGGGTGGTGAAGGAGGGCCAGGCAGAAGGCAGACTTCAGGGTCCCCTAGGATGAAAGGCAGGACTGGTCGACCAGAGTCCTGAGTTCAGCTGGGAGGGAGGCCAGTCCTCCTCCATCATGTTCCCCTCCTCCTGCTTTGGTCCTGGCCCCACCCCAGCCAATTAATTGCTCACTGGTATTGCCCAGAGTATCAGTATCGGAGGGAGAGGCCTGGGACCAGGTCAAGCTGCCTCTCCTCCTCCTCCCTGCACCCCTCACCCAGACTCTCACCTCCATACCTCCCCACAAAGACTGCCTGTGCCCCAGCCCTGATTGCCTTCTCTCTCTCTCTCTCTCTCTCTCTCTCTCTCTCTCTCTCTCTCTCCTGTCCTGCCTTTCCCTCCAGCCCAGTGCTGCCCCTAGGACTTTCTTTGATGATAGGAATGTTCTGTTCTGTATCTGTGCTGCCAAATACTACTAAGCATTTGAAATGGGGCTAATATGGCCAGCCTAAGGAACTGAATTTTTTTATTGTACTTAATTTTAATTTATTTTTAAAATATTTTATTTATTTATTCATGAAAGACACAGAGAGAGGCAGAGACACAAGCATAGAGGGAAGCAGGCTCCCTGCAGGGAGCCTGATGTGGGACTCAATGGGGACCCTGGAATCATGCCCCTGACAGAAGGCAGGCACTTAACCCTGAGCCACTCAGGCGTCCCCTTAATTTTAATTTAAATGTGAACAGCCATGTGCAGCTAGTGGCTACCATGTGCAGCTAGTCTAGCCCTTGACTTTACCAGCACTCAAAATGGGATTGGGAAGGAAGAGGGGCCAGGAGCTAGGGAGAGAGGAGGGAACAGGACAGACTCCCCGAAGAGGGTTGAGGTGGTGGGAGAAAAACAAAACCACTGGCTTAGGACCAGGATGACCTGGGTAGGAGTCTCAGTTAACTTCCTGGCCTCCGGCAAGTCTCCCAACCTTTCTGAACGTCAGTGTCCTCCTCTGTAAAATGGAGATACTTTGAGTCAAGCCTACCTGACAGGGGGTTTGCGAGGATCAAATGGGAAATGATCAGAAAGATTCAGTGAGGCTGAAGATGCAGCCCTCCGGGCACAGGAGCTTAGCAGATGAAGCCCCACAGCGCCCCACCTGTGTCCTCCCCTGGGGACAGCGGGCAGAATGGCCCACTCCCCAGCCCCAGGCTTTCCCTTCAGAGGCTCCAGCCCAGCTGACCTGGAGGGGACCCAGAGTCTCCCCCCACCCCCGCCCCGCCCGCCCCACCCCTATGGAGCAGCGAACAGCAGCGTCACCCAGGGGTGCTACTGAACATGGTGTCAGTTCCTCTGGAGCTCATCCCGGCCACCTCTGTTCCCTCCCTGGACTCCCAGCCGCTGGCCCGGTCTCAGGGAAGAGGGGGGCGGGGTGGGCTGGGAGCAGAGAGGGGAGTGCCCGAAAGAAGAGGCACAGGGAGCCTTGTGGGTGGGCAGAAGGGGAGGAACGGCAAGGCCTGTGGGATAGTCTTTCCCAGCACAAACAGAGGTGGCAACGTCTGTCCTGTTTTCTCTCTCTTCATTCCTCCCAGATGCCGTCAGACCTTGGCCAGGACAGCCAGGGCTGGGGGAGGCAGAGTGTGCTTGGCCTCTCTCGACAGCTGCAGCCGCTCACGCAGCCTGGTGTTCAGCCTCCGTCCTTCTCCCACCTGCTGTGCTCCTATCCTCCTGTCCTCTCTGTTCACCTTTCTCCCTGATCCCACCAGGGCGTCTGCCCATGTGTGGGCCCTCCCAGCAACTCTCCTCTCTGCTGTTTTACTATGTCCCTTGGACTCATCATGAGCACTTCTTTCAGCTCAGGCAGTAAAAATCTGAAGCTAATGGGGCTGAGGAGGGCAGGAAGGGCCATTGGCTCGGCACCTGCCAGGCCAGGGCTGTCCTGTGGGACATTCACCAATGCCTACAGAGGTGAAGGAGGTCTGCTGTGCTCCCCAGCAAGTGCCCTGTCCAACACCTGGACTGAGGGAGAGAACATGGTGGCCCGAGGCAACCCCACACACACCAGAGAATATCAAACATTTTTTAAGACTTTATTTATTTATTAGAGAGAGAGAGAGAGAGAGCACAAGCAGGGGGGAGGTGCAAAGGGAGAGGAGAAGCAGGCTCCCCACTGAGCAGGGAGCCCAACGTGGAGCTCCATCCTAGGACCCTGAGATCATGACCTGAGCCACAGGCAGAAGCTTAACTGGCTGAGCCACCCAGGTGCCCCTAGAAAATCAGACCTAAGGCACACGCCTTCCAAGGGCAAGAGATTGGGAGTTGGTGACACGTTTATGAAAAAGGCAGGTTGTGTCCACTCAATTGAGTCTGCCTGGGGCTGCTCGGGGCTGCTGCTGCTGCGTCCAGCATTGGGCACTGGTTCAGTACGCTCAGCCTACACTGTGCTTTAGACTTTGCAACAAGGAGGGCGATGAATTGTCCTTGACCGTGAGGAGCTGAGGTCCAGCTGGGGATAAACAGACAGCCCAGAGAGAAGGCTAGCATGGAGAAAAGAGAACACTTGGTTTCGAGGTGGTGTCAGGACATTCCCTGGGCCTTGGGGAATGGTGAAGGCAGGGAGTCAGCAGCTCAGACTCCAGGCCCTGGCTGTGCTGAAGGGGTGTTTGGAACAAGTGGCTGGCTTGGAAAGTATAAATGGGAGCAGCAGAGTGGAGGCACAGAGGGGCTACTTGGGCCAGCATCACAGGTGATGCGTAACAGCAGGTAAGGGAGGAATATGGTCAGTGGAGGAGGATGCAGGGATTGGAGGGTTCTGAACAGGGGGAACAGCATAGTCAGAGGGGAGGTTTGGGGTAGAGGACCACCATCTCCTGAGGGCCAACGGTGGGCCAGATACTGTCCCGGCTACTCCAACTGCTCTGGTGCTTAGACCTCACAACAGCTCGGCAGGGTAAGAGTTTTTCTCCCCCAGTTCACAGACAAGGAAACTTGAGTTTAAATTGGTTGCTCAGGGATCCCTGGGTGGCACAGCGGTTTGGTGCCTGCCTTTGGCCCAGGGCGCAATCCTGGAGACCCGGGATCGATTCCCACGTCGGGCTCCCAGTGCATGGAGCCTGCTTCTCCCTCTGCCTGTGTCTCTGCCTCTCTCTCTCTGTGTGACTATCATAAATAAATAAAAAAATTAAAAATTTCATTAAAAAAAATTGGTTGCTCAGACCAGCTGGTAACTAGCGCAAGAGTTTGGAAAGGACACACACTCAAGCCTGTTGGACTCTAGAGGCTGTGTAGGTCCCATCTTTCAGCTGACACCAGGCCATGAATCAATGGCAGCGGTCCACAGACAGATTACAGAGGTTCCTTAGACCCAGTAAGGGTGTGTGCAAAATTCCTTGTGTGTCATCAAAGTCTCAAAGCTGAGAGGTCCCAAGCAAGAAAGTCAACAGTACATCCTGTCCCTCCCACTCAATCTTGTCTCCTTTGTTTTTTATCCACGGCCCTCAAAGTCAGGACAGAAGTTTTGGAACAAGTGTCCCATGCAGGGGTGTTTGGTAGACCTAGGACTTCCGCTTGAGAGAAGGAACGGGGAATGAAAACACAGGGAGAGAAGAAGCCCAAGAGAGGGGCTTGTTTTGTGGGGGCAGAGGGCAAGAGGCTGCTCTGCACCCCAGGGCCTGAGCCTCTCTGCTCTGCTCCAGCCAAAGGCACTTCCGTCTCCTGCCCTCTCTTCTTCCCTCGCACTTTCTCTGCTGGGGTGGGCTCCTCTGTCCAGCTGTCACCCAGGGCAGGCTCACACCCCTGGCCCGCTCCCAGAGGCTCTCCCTGGGCCATTGCCCTGTAGTGGGCGTGGATGCCCCTGAGTCACCCACACTCTCCACCTGGTCCTCTCGTGGCTGAGGACACGGGTCCAGGAAGCAGAGGACGAATCTGCACGTGGGAGTTCCTGCCCGACCCATGCCCACCTCAGCCCCGCTGTGCCCACGTGACTGGCTAAGTGTCACTCCAGTGTGGTCTCTCTCCTCCACCTGCCTCTGTGCTTTCTTCCCTGTGGTAGATGATGCAGCCCAGGACCCATATTCCACATGGCCGGCCCCCTCTGAGCAGACAGATCCCAGGGCAGCTTATGTGCGCAGCCCGGCACGGCCATCAGCCCGATCTCGGCTCTCCGAATGCCAGGCCCGCGCCCCCAGCAGGCGCTCGGTGGTTCTTCCCCCGCTGCCCTACTTCCCCTGGATCTCCCCCTCCCAGCGCCCTCCCAGCCGCTAGGCGCCCGGTGGGATGTGGCAACGGCTGAGGCCTTGCCCCCAGGAGCGCCCTGGCTGTCCAGGCACATGAACTTGGCTCCCATGTGAAACTTCTCAGCTCCGCTGTGTTGGGGGCCCATCCGTCCCACCCTCATTCCTCACGGGTGACTGTCTCCCCGAGCCACTCGTCTCCCCCCTGGACGTTCTCTCTCCTCTGGGGGATGCAGCACACCTCCATTTATAAAGAGCAGAGCTCACATGGCACCCCGAGGGAGTCCTGGGAACTCCCCTGCACCCAGCCTTACTCTGGAGCCGAGGGTGGAGCAGGACGGGGCCGTGTTCCCTAACAATCCCTTAGGTGAGTTGTTGGGAATCCCACCCAGGATAACACGCCACCCTTAGCTAAGAATCACTGGGGAGCCGTCTGCACCTCGTCAAAACGTTCAGCGGTGTGCTCTATGCTCAGCTCCACCTGGTCCTGCTCCATCAGCTCCAGCCCCCCCCACCACCCCCGTGTCTCCCGAGGCAGGGGCATCTTTAGGCAGTGGGTCTCCGTGAGGAGGAACTCTGCCCCCAGCCTCCCTGCCCCCCCTCCTGTCTCCACCCCGCCTCCTGTAAGCAGCAGCAGGGAGTCAGCTGAGTGCGGGTCATGCCCCCAGCCTGAGACCCGCTGGGTTTAAGTCACATCTGATTTGGCCACCACCTCTCTTGCCTTGTGAGGAGGTGACTACAGAGGCCGTGATTAGCTGTCCGAGCAACAATAATATTTGTCCTCTTCTCTGTTCTGGGGAATGAGTGCCAGGGAAACCAGCACTCATTGCTCATTATGTTTACCTTTAAAACAGTCGTTCTTTCCACTGTAGCTATTAATGCTTCTTTATTGTTATTGGTCACCCAGGACTAGTGCCTCCCAGCTCCCTGGCAGTCCAGAGGATGGAGCCAGGGAGGGTGAAAGGGAAGGCCAGGGTACAGTCTGAATGAGCTTTTGGAAGCAGCTGGAAGGCGTTGCCCCAAGAGGGACTCCCAGGCCAGGTATGGTTCTCGGGCTGCTGGGGGCGGATGGTGTGGGCCCGTCTTCTGGACTTCTGCCTGGCTGGGAGCACCACTCCCGCAGGGAGCTTCTCCTGCCCCCCAAAGTGTCCATCCCTGGCACCTGATGCATCACCCTTCCACACAGGTGGCCAGAAAAGCCCGAATCATGTTGGAGAGGCTGGCATCCCTAGTCCAGCTCTGTTCTCCCGGACCCCAGGACTAGAACCAGAGAGTAGCACCGAGTCCTCAGCAGTGTGTAACAGATCCTCACAGTCATCCACATGTGCGGGGTTGATTCGGATCCTCTCAGTGACCCCAGGAGACAGAAATTATCACTTGTCCTTTGGAGCTGCAGAGGGAGCTGCAGACACAAGTCCAAGGAGGTAAGGTGATGCTCACCCCTAGTGGCCTGGGCTTCCCATGCACTCAGGATGCCCTAAGCTGCTTTCTCCTCTTCTTCTTGGGTATTCCCATAGCCTGACTTCCTCCTTCACTTCATTCACTTCTTGTCTCCTGCCATTTCCTCAAGAGGCCCCCTCTATCTTTTCTATTTAAAATCGCACCCCACCGCTAAATATGACCCATCATGCTCCATTTCCTTCCTTTTCCTGAATTTTCTTCAGAGCACTTATCCCAGCCTGACATCCCATTACTTCTGTCCTGTGTCCATCTGTGGGATGTTCCCTTCCCCCACCACAAGATGAGCCCCGTGAGGGGAGGGCCCTCCTCTCTTTGACTCACCACTGCATCCACAGCCCTAGAGCACCGCCAGGCTCATGGGAGGGACATAATCAGAGAACGAAGAAATAATGAATATGTTGGGCCACAGGCCAAGCAGCCTGTGTCTGAATTTTCCTGAGGGCTCCAGAGCCTGCCTCATCTCACCTCATGTGCCTGACTCACCTCAGAGAGGCCACCCTGGCGACCTAGAGGGTACTAGTGGGGCCTGAGTGAGGCCTGGGGAGTGTATGATGTCAGAGGCAAAGGGCAAAGAGAACTCTGGATGGAAACATCTTGGGGGGCCTCTAGGCTGCCCTCTGGTGGAAAAGCATAGAATACCCCACACAAGGAAGCAGCCTCTCCGCCTGGGGTGGAAATTTGGAGATTACAGAAATCCCGAAAAGTCACATCCCAAGGTCACACAGAAAATATGTAGCAGAGAAGGGACAAAAACTTGGGTTACAATCGGATGCTTTCACCACTATGGGATTCGGTCTTCCTCCAACCACAGTTGAGATTAAGCTGTCAAAAGGAAGGCTAAGGTTTTTTGAGGCTATGGTGGGGGTAGGGGGAAGCTGGGAAGGTGGAGTTGGTTTAATTCAACAAGTTTTTTGAGCTAGTGCCAGGCACCCAGTGGGCACGCAATTGAAGATTAGAGGAAGAAAATGTATAGCCAGAGAGCTTAAATTTATACTGAAGCAAGTTTTCAAATGAATTTGAAACATGAAATTGGCAGAGGAGTTAGGTCTTCCCCTCCTCAGCTCCTACAGAGGGGTGTGCCCCTCTGTAATTTAACTTTTATCACATTTTATCGCCATGATTTACATGTTTGTTTCCTCCCCAGACACACAGCTCCTTGAGGGCAGGGAGGACTGAAGCTACTTCCTGGGATTGTCACCACAGCCTAGCACCCCACACAGTAGATGCTCAATAAATTATTGTTGTATGGGCAAGTGGATGAACAAATGAGTGCTTTGGAGTTTCCCTGCCTAGAGACCTTCAAAGAAGTGCAGACAACCATCTCTTCTGTCTAATCCAAAGACATGATTGGCCTGCCCAAAGGCTGAGCACTGTGCCTGATGCCTTCTCAAGTTAACTAGGCTTCTGTAATTAGGTTATACCATGATACAAGTTCCAGGTTCTTCTCTTTCATTGGCCAAGCATTTACTGACTACCTGCCATGTCCAAGGTACTGAGCTATTGTTCTCTAAAACTGTGATCCTGTTCTATTATTTAATTCTCTGACTCCATGTTGACATAAGATGCAACACTGTCCCCACCGCATTCACTCCTAGGTGAGGTCAGTCAAAGTAGACAGGAAAGAAGCAGTATTGTCTAACCTGAATGATAGGCTGGCACAATGGGTTCCCCTGTGTCAATACTCCATACCCTTCAGTACCACTCAATCTCCTTCCCAGCTAATAAGCACCCTGTGTTTGGGTATCAATGCCTGCTGCCTATCAATAGGTATTAAAATCCCCAATTACCTCATGCCTCCCCCTTCTCTCTCCCACTCACCCACCTGTTGTGTCAAACCGGAAAGAACTGATTTGGAGCCAAGTCCTGGATCATCTTCACTTTGGCACTTGAGTGATGTCTTTTTTTTTTTTTTTAAGATTTTATTTATTTATTCATGAGAGGCAGAGAGAGAAGCAGGTTCCATGCAGGGAGCCCGATGTGGGACTTGATTCTGGGTCTCCAGGATCACGCCCTGGGCTGAAGTTGGCGCTAAACTGCTGAGCCACCCGGGCTGTCCTTGGGTGACATCTTAAACAGATGAGTTACCTCTCTCAGAGTAGTTTCCTCATCTGTGAAGTGGGGCTAATAACTTGCTTTCTTGAACACCTTCAGAGCCAAGTACGAGGATAAGAAGTAAGACCTATAAACACAGACAAGGCACCATCTCTGCCCTCCAGAACCTCATACTTTACAAGAGGAGAAACATGGAAACCACAATAATGTGGAAATTAAATAAGACGGAACCCTAGGTCCTTGCCTGGGCCACACTAAGGACTCAGTTCCTTTGCCTCACTTTCTCTCTCCTTTAAGAATGCTTTTCTCTTTCTTTTCACAACGAACTTCATCTCACTGGCTTGGGGGGTTGCTAGGGGTCCATTTGAGGGGTCCAGACTTCTTCCCTTCCTTCCCATACCTCCCCGCCCGAGCACACCCAGGCATGTGTGTGAGCCTCCTTATCACTGGGCACAACTCTATCAGAGGAAAAAGACTTTCGATATGAGCTCCCAAGCTTGGCTTCCCTGATTTCCCCCCAACTCACTTGTCCAACAATATCCCCCTCCTTTCCAGGTTATAAAGCCCTTCACTCTAATCATTAGTCTATTTCTGTTGCCCAAACTTGCTATTTATTAATGAATTCAGCCACTCATAAAACATGTATGCAATGGTTAGTTTTATCTGTCAACTTGACTGGGCAAAGGGATGCCCAGGTAGCTGGTAAAACATTATTTTGGAGTGCATCTGTGAGGTGCATCAGCGAGGCGGTTTCTTGGAAGAGAGTAGCATTTGAATGGTGAACTGAGGGAAGAAGCTTGCTGACACTGGTGGGGTGCGGGTAGGCATCATCCAACCTGTGAGGGCTGAATTAATTGAACAGATAAGAAGAAGGATGAACTTGCTCTGTTTGAGCTGGGACATCCATGTTCTCCTGTCCTCGGACATCATCAACACTCCTGGTTTGCTGGCCTTTTGACTGGGACTGGTACCTGCACCAACTGTTCCCCTGGTTGTCAGGCCTTTGGGATTATTCCACTGCTTTCCTGGGTCTCCAGCTTGTAGATGGCAGACTGTGGGGATTCTCAGCCTGCACAGTCTCAAGAGCCAGTTCCTGTAATAAACCTCCAGGTATATTCCATTGGTTCTGTTTCTCTGAAGAACCCTCATATAACCACTGTATTCGGTGTCAGGGTTACACAGACGAATAAAGGGATGGGAAGCTATAGGGATTAAAATCAGAGACATTGCTGTAGGATAGATCTGAGTTCAAATCCCAATTTTGCCATTTGTTTCTCCTTGTATGCGCCTCACTGTACCTGTCTGGATCCAAAACGGTGATAAGGGGACGCCTGGGTGGCTCAGGGCATGATCCCGGGCCCGGATGGAGTCCCACATTGAGATCGCTGCACGGAGCCTGCTTCTCCCTCAGCCTGTGTCTCTTCTCTGCCTCTCTGTGCCCCTCATGAATAAATGAATAAGATCTTAAAAAAAAAAAAAAAGATCGTGGCTGAATGAATAAATTTCGTGAACCAGGCCCCTTTGAGGCCTATTGAATTCTACTAGGCCCACCCCTACAACTCTCTTACTTTCCAGGATTATTTCTAAATTCTAAAACTAGGTTTGGTTTCGTTTTGTATTGTGTTCAAACTGGTCGCCTACAGGTTTTGATGGGAGTTGCCACATAAACAAATGGGTCCTAAGTGGTGAATGTTAAGGTCAGGCACATTCAATTGCTTTTAACCCTTCTCAGCCCCACCCTGGTAAGCCATTTGCTCCACATTAGGTCAGGGTAATCTTTTAGCTCTTGCCTTTTGAACTTTCCTGCTCAAATACTCCCTTAAAGAATGGTTTTAAATTATGTATTTATTTTTTTAAAAGATTTTATTTATTTATGTATGAGAGACACAGAGAGGCAGAGACAGGCAGAGGGAGAAGCAGGCTCCATGGAGGGAGCCTGACGTGGGACTCCATCCTGCGTCTCCAAGATCACACTCTGGGCTGAAAGCGGCACTAAACCACTGAGCCACCCATGCTGCCCTGAATTATGTATTTTTAAGTCAATGGCTAAAATTTTTAATTATAAGTTAAAATATTGCAAAGGGTATGCTTTCCAGGAAATTGTACATACTTACCTGTTAAAAGCCACATCGGTCTTTCAAATATAGCAGATGGAACATAGCATAATATTTTTGTACCCACAACACCCTTTTAATAAGTGAGCAAGCCCTATAGCCAGTCCACAAATTTAGCTTGTATTTCTTTTTAGTTTTTTCCATTCCACTCTCCCTACAGTTCTATCCTAATGAAATATATTTCCGTTGTGTCACTTTCTTTTTGTATTTTATTGTATTTTGGGGAAGTCCTTTTGTATATCTCCGAAACAAAAGTATGTATATAAACTGAAATGTATTTCCTGTGACTAGAAGACCCGAAGTGTTGAAAACAGTTATTCGGCAGCGGGTTTATAACTACAATTATTACAGGACACAAGTTGTCAAAACTACAAATATTGACAGTGATTAAACAGAAAAGCAAGTTTGTTTTTTTTTTAAAGATTTTTATTTATTTATTCATGGGAGACACAGGCTCCATGCACGGAACTGGATGTGGGACTCGATCCAGGAATTTCGGATCACACCCTGAGCCACGCAGGTGTCCTGAAAAGCAAGTTTTTATTTAAGATGCCTCCCTTGGAGGGCCTGCCTTTGCCCCAGGGCGTGATCCTGCATCAGGCGCCCCGCCCCGCAAGGAGTCTGCTTCTCCCTCTGCCTGTGTCTCTCCAGAAATAAAATCTCAAAAAAAAAAAAAAAAAAAGATGCATCTCTTAATGAGATGGGGGAAAGGGCTGATTTCTGTTTCCCCCTGACTCTTGTTTGGCAACTCCAGGAAGGGCACTCGGGTCCTGTTTAGGGTGAAAAAGAGAGCCCAGCCTCTCTGTCAAGAGGGAGTAGAGTGGTTAGTTAATGGAGGCAGGTAGAAGACAGTACGGTCCTCAGGCAGATGCATTTTAGGAAGGGGATACATATACTTCTGGAAATTGATCCCCTTAGAACTTAGTCTTGCCCACATGCCCTTGGGGAAAAGTTTTCTTTTTTTTCTAAAAGATCTTATTTATTCACGAGAGAGACACACACAGAGAGAGAGAGAGAGAGAGGCAGAGACAGAAGCAGGCTCCATGCCGGAAGCCCGACGTGGGACTCCAGGATCACACCCTGGGCCAAAGGCAGGCGCTAAACCGCTGAGCCACCCGGGGATCCCCGCAAAAAAGTTTTCATGTTCAGTGCAAATCAAAAGCTATTTAAAAGAGACTTAAGGGCAGCCCCGGTGGCACAGGGGTTTAGCGCCGGCTGCAGCCCAGGGCGTGATCCTGGAGACCCGGATCGAGTCCCACGTCGGGCTCCCTGCATGGAGCCTGCTTCTCCCTCTGCCTGTGTCTCTGCCTCTCTGTCTCTCTGTGTCTCTATGAATAAATAAATAAAATCTTAAAAAAAAATAAAAGAGACTTAATATGGTTTCTCATTCTCCAAAATAGGAGTTCCAGAATGGGAGAAATGTGGGTCTGAATGTCCTTGTAACTCTGATGTTACATTTCCAACTTCCTCCTGCTGAGCTCCACGTCCTTACGCATATGGGCAAGATGGGAACTTAAGAGTACTTCCAGATCTCTGTAGCTTTGTGCTCTGGGGAGGGCATCTCATTATTCAAAGACCTAATCATCAGCAAAGCAGCAGCCAAGATTCAAAATGAAGAAAACATGGTTTTTATTTTTCCATTTCATGGAAGAATGGTCTCCGTCTTCCGATAGTTCCCAGCTGTCGGCCACCAGGTGGCAGCAGAGAACGCAGGGCCACCAACCTGGCCCCAGGAGCCCCAGGGGGTGGGAGGAGGGACCAGGTTGGAAGCAGGTAGGTGGGGGGACTGGGCATGAGGTAGGGGTGTATGCTTCAGCTGCCAAAGAAAAAAGGAGGAAAGGGGGCTGGATCTCAAGAGAGGACAGATAATAGAATGACGCTTTCAGAGTTCAGAAAAAAATTGAAGAGGAAGGTGATTGAGGCTGATGGGAGAACTGGAGAGGAATCAGAAAGGTACACTTGGGGCACTCAGCCTGGAGCCCCAAGAAGCCTCTGGGGAAGTCCCTTTATCTGTACTCTTCCCGGGGTGGGTCAAGATCTGGGTCCTCTTGAGGTCCATGGTCCACTTCAGGGGCAGGTGGCCAGGGGTTTTCTGGAGGCTGGGGTCCTGCTGGCCAGGGGTCATCAGGCCGGGGAGGCTGAGGGGGGTCGGTTCTCGGGGGTTCAGGAGGCCAGGCTCCGGATTCAGTTAGGTCTCTCCAGGGACGACTGGGGCCTGGAGGTGGAGGGTCCTCAAAGAGAGGGGGTGCCCCTGGCCAGGGATCACCAGGGACTGGGGGGCCCTGCGGCAATGTTGGGGAGCCCTCCTCCTCTCCAGTGTCTGTGGGTGGGGGACGGGGGTGCTCTCTGCTGCCTGTGATGCCTGTGGAAGAGGAAGGGGAAAGGTAGAAGGTGGTGAGGGCCAGATCTCCCTGCCCCAGCTAGAGTCAGGGGGAATAGGCTCTCTGGGATAGACCACAGCCTGAGCAGACATCACAAACCTACCTCAAAAGTCAGTCTCAAAGAGCTCTCCACACATTAACAACAGACCGAAGTGATCTTAAAATGACATAAAAACCTTGTCCGGAATCATTAACTTGACCTACTTTAAACCAGCAGATCAGGGATCCCTGGGTGGCGCAGCGGTTTGGCACTTGCCTTTGGCCCAGGGCACGATCCTGGAGACCCGGGATCGAATCCCACATAGGGCTCCCGGTGCATGGAGCCTGCTTCTCCCTCTGCCTGTGTCTCTGCCTCTCTCTCTCTCTCTCTCATGAATAAATTTTTAAAAAATTAAAAAAAAAAAAAACCAACATAAGTTGACATAAGCTCCATCCAGCTAGGGTTGGGACCCTCACTGGCATGGCCTCTGTGCTGGTCTACACCTCCAAAGCCATCTACACCTTGGGCCCATGTGGCAACCAGACCCCACCCTTTGCAAACACATCCACCCTCCACAGGCCTCAGTCGTGATGCATACTCACCCACACACCTGGATTCTGATCTAAATTGCCACATGGACCTACACTTGAACCAGCAAAAACATTGAGCTAAAATGCATTCTTCTGCATCACCTTCAACTTCTAACTCCCTCCTTCATGTGAAAACCCAGAATCTTCTGAAGTCTCCTCCATCCCTAGGTGTCTAATTCACCCTTGCCCCACCTGACCATCCTCCATCACCCCAAATTGCACTCCTTGCTCTGTTCCCAGATTACCTCCAGCACACAGGTAAAGGACCAGGATCCCCAGTAGCTTCCAGTTGAGCATCATAGCTGTCTCCTGGCCCCCAAAATTGGGGGTGGGCTGAGTGTAGGTGCCTAGGAACCCCAAGAGGCTTTATAGGGATTGAGAGGAGGTGTCCAATCTCTGGGGAGGGGCCAGCCCAGTGACACAGGAATCCCATCAGAACCTAACTGGTTGAACCCGTTTGGAAAGCCAGGGCTAATGTGTAACCTCTGACAGTGGCGTCCCTCACTTTAGTGCCACCCCCCCCCTTCATTTTGGGACTCAGCCACCCCAGCTCTATTGATGACCTAGACCTCGGTCACCCCACCCTTGTGTTCATGTCCTCCTCCACACACTCTGCAGCCATCAATACCTACCTGTCATCTCTAGTCACAGGGACTTCCACCTTTCATTCCTTGGCACTACTGGAAGCCAAGGAATGGAAGCCAACCATGCGTGGGGAAGCAGTGTAATTACAGGGGCCAGCAGGCAGGACGCCGCGGCAGGAGCAGGGAGAGATGCTCCTTCCAAACATACAGAACGCAGCTAGGATGGCCCCAGCCAGCACCCTGAGCTTCCCCCTTGGGGCTGTTTTGTCTTTGGAACTCCCAATCCCCCCTCCCCTCAGGACTGGGACGTGCAGTAGCACACGCCTTCATCAGGCACTCAAGGGGCCTCCCAAGCTATGACATCAGAAGAATTACACCTAGGAGCCATGTGGGAGATGGCAGGCCAGGAAGTATGAGGACATCCTGATTTCTTCCCCCACCCCGGAGCTGGCTCCATCCGTCCCAGCCCAGAGGCTCAGGAGGAAACTGCCTCTGCTTCCTGTGGATCTCCGCCCCTTCCTCCTCCCTCTGGAATCCTGCTCACTGCCCCTCTGGCCACTGCCTGGTCCTCCCTGCCCTTTCCCCCCTCCCCTCAAACCCCCCCCCCATCTTGCAGACCTCAGTCCAGGTTTGTCTCCATCTCTTGGAGCCCTCAGGAAGGCTGCCCCTGGTCTGGAGGTCCAGTAAGCCTCTCGGAAGTAATGCCTCCCTAACTAACATCTCCCACCCTCCCCAGGCTGTTCCCCACCTGGTCTGCTCCCCCCTGGTGAGGACACCACTGTCCCTCTGTGGCTCACTTTGAAGCCTTCATTCTGCTCCTTCCCCCAACCCTGCCCCAAGCCCAGCCCAGGAGCCCATCTCTCCAGCCCTCCCCAGTTACCCTAACTGGTCTCCCCACCCCCTCTTCTTCCCTCCCCAACCCAAACCCCAACCTCCACAGCCAGCCTACCTATCTCTTAAGAATGTCAGCCTAGGGATCCCTGGGTGGCTCAGCGGTTTAGCGCCTGCCTTTGGCCCAGGGCATGATTCTGGGGTCAAGTCCCACATCCAGTTCCTTGCATGGAGCCTGCTTCTCCCCCTGCCTGTGTCTCTGCCTCTCTCTGTGTGTGTCTCTCAAACAAAATCTTTAAAAAAAGGAAGTCAGCCTAATCGTGTGGTTGCATCCCTGCTACAAGTACTCCAAGGGCTTTTTACTGACTTGGAATAAAACCAGCACCCCACCAGGTCCCCCTCCATGCTAGCCTGCCTTCTGCAGGACTCCAGCCAACGCTGCTGCTTGCTTCCCCACCTCAGGCAGGTCCTCCACACAGCCCCTCCTCAGGGAGGCAGCATTGCATCGGGCGGCCTCTCCCTGGTCAGGTTCTGTCACTTTGTATGTCTTTTCTCTTCCCAAGGATGCCTGTCTGTTCACTTAGGTACTTAGGTACCTGTCCATCTTCTGTCTCTACCACCGGGACAGCAGTGCCTCGGCAGCAGGGACCCACTCAGCAAGCCCACCACTATGGCCCCTGAGCGAGGACACTGCCTGGCTCTGAGCAAATGAGCGATGTTTTATATTCCTCACTCTGGGCAGTGATCTTCTTCCAGAAGTAAAGAGTTTTAAAACAAAAGTTGAGAAAAAGAAAACCTGGGGCTTGCCAGAAACTTCTCAAGCAGCCTGGGGAAGGGGTTTTGAGAAAGGCACTACCTAGAGAAAACAGCTGGGTGGGACCACCTCTCGCATTTTCCGGGTGGATGGAGATGGCTGCAGGGGAATTCCCTCTCAGTCCCAGAGAAAACATGGCACACTGTAATCTCCTTTATTGAGCCACAGCATTCAGACATCCTGGTGGCTGGTATCCACGAGGGCAGCTGGCCGGCCCCCCACCCTGAGCCCCCAGAGGCAGAGTCCCCAGCTGTTCAGCCACACACTGGAGCAGGACAGTTCGGGTTGCCTCCTTGAGAAACAGCTTCCTCTTTGGAAATGGCCTCACTCAGGCCCTGCAGATCATTGAGCAGGACAGAGAGGGATCCTGGGAAAGAAGACCCCAGGGATAGCAGCCGGACAGACAAGGCTGTTGCAGCTCCGGTTGCAGAGAACAGGGCTGTCATCAGATGGGAGGGTTATGAGGGAGGGTGTCCTCTGGCCCAAGGTGGGCATGGATGAGGGGCTGTGTGCCTCCAAAGGTCATGGAGAAAAATGCTCACCATTAAGAGCACCTGGAGGAGAGATTCCTTAAGTCCTGCGCATGCATCCATCCATCCCTTCCTACCTAGACCATTACCTTTTATGGACTCCCTGGTGGTGGGTGCTGCCAGAGGCACAGCTGCTGAAGACCCTGGGTCCCTGGGGCTGGACTCCACAGACTTTCCCTTATCCAGGAGGGAAGGAAGAACTGCCAATAGTCGCTGCTGCTTGTAACGGGAGAGGAGACCCTCCTGCTGCAAGGTGGCCTGGGAAGGAGAGGGTCAAATGCCACCTAGCCCGGCAGAGCCACCCCTCCCCAGTGAGGCCTCTACTCCCCAGGCAGCTCCAGGGCCCAGTCTCTGACCCCCTACCAGCATAAGGTTCTTGTCCCTCTCTAGCTCCTGCAGGCGCTGGGTGAGCCGCAGCCCCTCCTCCTTCCGGGCCTCATCTTGCAGGCGCCTGAGCTCCTGGTTCCTCTCCTTCTCCCAGGTGGCTTTGCGCTGCATCTGGCGCAGGGAGACCACTAGTGGAAGCCAGGGTACAGAAGGCACAGGTGTGGGGCAACCCAGAGGTAGTGTGGCACCATGAGAACAGCTGGAATTGTGGGCAGAACACTGGGGGGCTATGTCTTCTGCATGCTGGGCACAGTGGCTGATGCTCCACAACCCCATCCCTGAACCTTCCTGGACTCATTTAGGGGGAATCTGAATATGTACTGGATATTCAATTTGGTGCAATTAATGTCTTCTTAATGTGTGCCAATGACACTGAGGTTAGGGACGCCTGGGTGGCTCAGCTGTTGAGTGCCTGCCTTTGGCTCAGGGCATGATCCTGGGGTCCCAGGATCAAGTCCCACATTGGGTCCCTACAGGAAGCCTGCTTCTCCCTCTGCCTGTGTCTCTGCTTCTCTATGTCCCTCATAAATAAATAAAATCTTTTAAAAAGATCTTTAACAAAAAACAGAGGAATAGCTGTTGCATCTAGTTAGAGGAGGTACACAAGTGAGCACTGCGTGAGTCTTGTAATTTGGCTACGTATTTGAACTTTTCCCTACTATGACATTGGGGGGAAGCCTCTGGCTGGGTCAGTCGGTAGAGTACATGATTCTTGATCTTAGGTAAGTTTGAACCCCATGCTGGTTGTAAAGATTACTCAAAAACAAAATCTTTAAAAAAAAAAAGTTGGGAGACGGACACGTGCAGCACAGAACATCGTGTAAAGATGGAGACAGAATGACGTGCCAACAAACCAGGGATGCCACTGATCGCCAGCAACCATGAGAATGCAGGAGAGAATCATAAAACAGACTCTCAGAACCTCTAGTAGGCACCAACCCTGGCCAGCATCTTGACTTCAGACTTCTAGCTTCCAGTACTGTAAGAGAACAATTTTCTATTGCTTTAAGGCAAAAAAAAAAAAAAAAGGAAGAAAAAGAAAAAGAAAAAAGTTGGGGGTAATGGTTGGTGTGAGGTTGGGATGGCCGTGGCCTTGTGGAGGGGGGTGGCTAGGCAGGGCTCAGGGGGTACTAGGGCTGGCCACATGCTGGTGCTCCTATGTGTGCTGGCTGAAGGAGTGTGTTCACCGCCTCAGAATGTATTTGTGCCATTTCTTGGTAACTTCATTATTTGCATACTTCAAAAACAGCTTTAAGATCCTTGGGAAAAAAAATAAAAAAATAAAACAAAATAAAATAAAATAAAATAAAAAGATCCTTGGACACCTGGGTGACTCAGCAGTTGGGCAGCACCTGCCTTTGGCTCAGGGCGTGATCCCGGGATCCGGAATTGAGTCCCACATCAGGCTCCCAATGGGGAGCCTGCTTCTCTCTCTGCCTGTGTCTCTGCCTGTCTCTCATGAACAAATAAATAAATCTTAAAAAAACAAAACAAAAACCCTTATGTCGAACACTGCCTTCTCCCCGGACGACCACAGCCACCCAAGCAAATCTCACCTGCCTTGCCATGCTCCCTCCGAGCCTCATTCAGTCTCCTCTCTGTTTCTAAGAGCTGTTCCCGCAGCCTGGTTTCCACTTCAGCCACCTTCTCTTGCAGAGCTGGGGGAGGGGGGGGGGTGCAGGTGGGATGTGTCAGAGGAAGCTTTGCTTCTCCGTTCCCCACAGCCCTCCGTGGTAAACGGACTCCGTATCCTGCACACCTTGCCCATAGAGCTCCTGCTGCTGGGTCAGTTCCTGCCGGAGATTGGCAGCCTCCTCTGTGCTCTCCTGCTGGCCCTGGCGAGCGGCCTCCAGCTGCAGCCCCACACTAGCCAGGGACTCCTGGGTGCGCTGCAGCTCCTGCTCCAGCTGCTGGGTGACCTCACTCAGCTGCTGCCGCTCCGCCTCCCCTGGGAAGAGCTGGCACTCAAAGGTCTCTCTGTGGCCAGACCCCACTCCTCCCTCTCCAACACACCCAACTCTGGCCCCTGCTCCAGCTCTGTAACGCCAGGACCAAGCGTACCTTGTTCCCGGGCCCGGCCCACCTCCTGCTGGATGATGTGGGCACTCAGCTGCAGCTCTGCATCCAGGCGGTTCCGTTCTTCCCGCAGCTGCTCCAATTCAAGGCTCACGTGTGTGGCTGGCGGGGCTGGGGGGCAGCTGCAGCAGGGAAGGGAAACAGAGTCAGGGCCAGTCACCTAGCCTGATCCCTAAGCCCCCATCCCCTTCAGTCCTCACTGTCTGGGGTCCCAGCAGACACCACCTTAACCCCCTCCCATCCACCGCAGTGCCCCAGGCTTCACCTCTCCTGGCGCAGCTGAGCAAGGGCCAGTTTTCGAGCCATCAGGCCTGGGGGAGAAAAGGCAGAGAGCAACGGAGAGGAGCTTGAGGAGGGAAAGGGGAAGGGATGCATGGTCTGGTGACAAGAAGGCATGAGGTCGAATGTGGGAGGCGAGAGCTGGGGAAGGCAGGGGCAGGAATACAGCGTGTCTGGCAGTTGCCCTACCCACCCCGAATCGTGTGGACCCTGCGGACAGCATAGCTGACTCGGCTGCTGAGGCAGGGCAGCCGGGCTGCAGCCCCTTCCACTTCAGCCATGGTGCTCTGGAGCCAGGTCTGAAAGCTGGAGAAGGCACACATCACTGACCCTTCCACCCCACTCATCCCTTGAAGGACCTGATGTGACTCGTAGGAACAACTCCTTCTACCCTATACTGCTGAATATGCAGGGAACAGGCAGGGAAAACCATAGCAGGGAAAAGAGAAGCTGAGGCCGAGGGCTGGGGCACCAACTCTGTCCCGCCAGTCGCATCTGAGCCCCTCGGCCTCGGCCAATGAGGAAAGCCTGAGCGCTCACACCCTTTAGTGTCTGTTAGATAAAAATGATCCGGGATCCCTGGGTGGCGCAGCGGTTTGGCGCCTGCCTTTGGCCCAGGGCGCGATCCTGGAGACCCGGGATCAAATCCCACGTCAGGCTCCCGGTGCATGAAGCCTGCTTCTCCCTCTGCCTATGTCTCTGCATCTCTCTCTCTCTCTCTCTCTCTCTCTCTCTCTCTCTCTCTCTCTCTCTGTGACTATCATAAATAAAAAAAAAATAAAAATAAAAAATAAAAATAAAAATGATCCCATCGCTCCTAAGGACCACATGGCTTTGCTTGGTCCCAAAACCTACAGCAAGCTTCTCCTCTGGGTCCTATCAATCAGTATCTTTAATAAGAGCCCTGTGGTAAAAACAAGAATGAGCTTCATAGGGTCACATACCTCATCCCGACCCAGAGCCCATAACACACAGAGTTCAGTACACATCAGTACAAACAACTCTATGGGGGCTGACACCATAAAGATGGATCATCTCTAGCTCATTTGGACTTTTTTTGCCTGCAGTCCCTGGACATGTCTCCTGGTTTTGGAAACCTCCTGGCACTGTACCCCATGTGTGGGTGTATGAACTTAGGTACATTTTCCCTAAAGAACAAGGCACATAGTTTCCAAGAAGGCATCGCCTATGTATCTTTTATCTTTCCAAGCAACCTGCAGAGTTTATTTCTCATAACCTATGTTTTGGTCACTAATATGCATTACAGATCAAAGCTACCCTCACAATTCCCTGACACTAGTGAAGGCCAGACCCATGAGCATTATGGGCTGGCCGTGCCCCAAGCGGTACAGCAAAGGCTCACGAAAACTGAGCAGGGCCAAGGCAAGGGGAGAACTCTCCAGGAGAGTCCAAGTCTGTATTGACTGAAAAACACGTAGATGATAAAGGCTGATGATAAAGGTTATATCCCTTGCAGCACAGCAGAAACCCATTATTTAAAAACTTCCAACACCTCCTGTGGCTCTTATTAAAGCCATTTCCTGATGAAGTTTCCAGGCCATCTAGAGATAGACAAACAAACATGATTAACAATCTGAGTGTGGGTTGTTTTAAGCCTCACGAACTTTCTGGCAATCAGTCATTGGCAAGGACCATTTCAGTGATGTCCTGGTGCCAAAGTAAAGCCCTGTGCACAGTGCAACCTTCCCATTCTTCTGGGAACAGGAGGCATGCACGATGAGGTGAATCTGGGTGGTTCATTATAACTAGTCTAAGTCCATAAGAAGCGGAAATTTTTCATGATTATTTTAAAGTGAAATTAGTCCTCAAGGTACAAACCCAACAGAAAGTGATGGTGGACAAGGACCTATCCAGCCTCACAATTTTCTACACCAGTAATTCTTCTGTTATCCACCCAGAACAGCCTCGTGGTAACAGTAAACATTCAGAGTGCAGATGACAAGCAGGCACCGAGCCAGGAGGCCTATGGGGGCCCATCTCAGTATTCCCAAGTCCAAAGCTGACAAGGGGCTGTCACCAGCACAAAGAAGCATGCGCTCCGCCTTAGAGGCCCTCCTACAGGTTGTAAAACAGGAGTCGAGAAGGACACACCTAGGAAGTTGGTATGAGAGGCACTGGCTTGCAAATGATTAAGGAGGAAATTGGCATACATGTCACAGACTATCTAGTAAGCCAGGAGGCGTACAGCTTTAAAATAAATACATTAAACTTGGTGCCAACTAAACAGGGCGTGCCTGTAAAATTTTAAAAAAGATGGTGTATCCACACTCTGCATCCTCCAACAGCTCTGAAGGTGGAGAACCTCCCAGTGAGTGGCACTATAGGAGGAAGCACGGTTTCACCTCCAACCAAACATGCATGGTTGTAACAAGCGACCCTCCTGTGAATGTGGAGCAGGTTGCCCCAGGGAAAAACAAACACAGGGACTTTTACAGTAAAGGGCTGGGTACCTCTAGCCCTGCATCCTCCAATTGCCAGCTTTCCAGCCCCTCTTGCCTAAGCTCCTAAACTTCCGGCTACCCAGGAAACCAGGGAAGCAAAAATGCTACTCCGCCCACCCTCCATCCCATATACCTGCTGACAAAATTGGCCACAAGCCTCAGCTGCTCCTCGGCTGTGGCTGTGTGCTGCTGCCTCCGGCGCTGGGCCTCCTGAGCACGGCTCAGCTCTAGCTGCAGGGCCTGGGAAGGATGCAGTGAAGACAGCGGTCCCCTCCCCAGGGCTCGTGGGGGGCAGTGGTGAGAGGCACACCCGACCCCACCCAGCCTCGGCCTGGCTCAGCCACTACCTTGGCGCTCATCCGCTCCACCTCCACCTCTGCGGCTTTGTCCTGTAGGGAGCGCTGCAGGATGGCCTGCTCCTGGCTCTGGGCCACAGCTCCCTCCTGGAGCTCTGCCACCTGGGCAGGGTGGGGAGGAAGCAAGACGGGGCACAGCTAGGGCAGAAAGCTGGAGGGGGGCACTGGGAATGGAGGGGCTGGTGTCAAAGTCTCTGAAAGAACATCATGCAGGGAGACAAGCTTGGGTTCCTGAGATGGAGTCTGAGTCCAGGTTTCCTTCTAGAAGCATGTTCCACGTGCCCACACCTTGAGGAACCACACTGTGACATACCAACAAGGATGCACCACCTCAGCCCAGCCACCCATGCTTGGACTTTGTCACCTCCTTAGAAAAGCCATTCCTGACCATCCTACCTAAAGCACGCCCACCCTGGGGTCTCTTTCTGTCACACTTTTGCACTTTTCTTTAGTGCACACGATAATCACTTGACATCATCTGTCTGCTGGCCTGCTGTGTCTCTGCTGCCCAACGTAAGCTCCGTGCCAGCACTACTTGTGTTTGTTCAGGACTATGTTCCCGGTACACAGGGTAACTCTTCAAGAGATCTTTGGTGGGTAAGTACCATCCCTTGTGTAAGGAGCCAGGAGTTGGGGGGGGCGGGGGGACGAACAGGGAGAGAGAGTCAAGTGAGAGGGTGTGTCAAGTGACCTGTCCCTTCAGCTGTGCCACACATCCTCTGTGCTCCAGCTCTTGGGCCTTCAGCTGCACCATGAGGGCAAACACCTTCTCCCGCCAGCGCTTCAGCAGGGCCTGGCACTTCCTGCTGAACTCGGGCTCCAGGGAGTCTGCAGGCTGGACCTGCGTTGGAGGAAGGGCCAGAAGTGCACCCAGGCATTGTTTTTTTTTTTTTTTGTTTTCTTTGTCCCACCCAAGCCACAAGAGCCACAGCAAGAAGAGGGCTTCACTGAAGAGAAGGTCCCAGAAGGTTCTGGCAGCCCGGCAACTCTTCCCACCCTCGGGGAGTCGCTGGAGGCAAGGGCCTACCTTCCTGGTCAGCTCCTCCTCCTGCATGGCAAGAATGTGCATGAGGCTCTGCACACGCACCTGCAGCAGCTCCGCCGTGGTGTGCAGGCCATCCCGGTCCTCCCGCAAGTACTGCAGGAGGAAGTGCAAAGGAGGGAGCGGCTGCTCTGCAGACCCTTAAGCAGCAGCCTGATGCCACCCCTTGTCAGCACTGCTTTCAGGGGCCACCCGTCTCCCAGGATCTGATCCCTGAGCCTTCTCACCCCACCTCCAGCCCACACAGAGGTGCACTCTCTCACTTGCACTGTTTCTAGAAGCTCCTGTCGCTCCGATTCCCAGGTCTGGCTGTGGACCTCAGGAGGGACTTGCTCCCCCACATATCTCCTTAAATTCTCAACCAAGGTCACCTGTGCCTCTAAGTCTTCTTCGGTCTTGCTGAGGTTGGGATGGGAACCGAGCAGCCATCAGTGAGGCACCCTGGAGACTCGCCACATCCACCCACCTGCTGGATCCCATTTGCTGTCCACCCCCACTTTACCTCAGCTGCTTCTGTAGCAACTCGGCCTCCCTCTGGGCCACAGCCAGCTCCTTGGCTTCCCCTGCCCTCCTAGTTTCCAGACTATTCAGAGATTTCTCCAAGCCCTCAGCTTTGCTGGTCAAACTGGAAAGAGCCTCCTGGTGTGCCTGTGTCAAGGACAAGAGCTGTGGAGAGAAGAGAGGGCACAGAGGGGCCAGCTCATTCCCACTTCTGGACTTTCTGAATCCATTCCTGCTCAGACCCTGTCCTTGCAATCCCACCTTCCGTAACCTTAGAAAACAACATGGCAAAAATGGAGACAGCCCCTGGTGCCCCACTGTCCTCCGTCCACCTGCCATTCTGTCAGCGGTCCCTGCCAGGTCTCTCTCCACTAAATGTATCTTCACTTCTGTCTCCAACCTTAGCAAGCCGCCCTCCTCTCTGGCCTGCACAATACCAACAAACTCCTGACCAGTCTTCAGAAGCCTTCTGGGGCAGGGGCCGCATGCGTGGCTCAGTTGGTTAAGCGTCAGACTTTGACTCGGGTCATGATATTGGGGCTAAAGACAGGCCCTGTGCTCAGTGGGGAGTCTGCTTGTCCCGCTCTGTATTCCCCTCCCCCCATTCATTCTCTATCAAATAGATGAAAAATAATTTTTTAAGATTATTTATTTATTCACAAGACACACAGAGAGAGGCAGAGACACAGGCAGTGTCTATTTAAAAATTTTTCATCAGGGCACCTGGGTGGCTCCGCGGTTGAGCAGCTGCCTTTGGCTCAGGCCTTTGGCTCAGTCCCGGGATCAAGTCCCACATCAGGCTCCCTTGCAGGGAGCCTGCTTCTCCCTCTGCCTGTGTCTGCCTCTCTGTGTCTCTCATGAATAAATAAAATCTTAAAATAACAAAAACAGAGTTCACTGCTCTCAAGGTAAAGTATAAAATTCTGAACAGGCCCCAAGGACTCCCCGTGCGCACACCATCCAGGGCACCCCCCTCTTCTACACTCATACCCCTTGCCCCTCTGGCCTCCTTATGCCCCACAGGCTGCCAAGTGTCGCCAGCTCACCAGCCAACTCCTATTCAGCTCAAATGACAACTTATCAAGATGCATCTTTCATAAATCTAAAGGCCATTTGTATTTTTTTTTTAACTACCTCCTGTGTCCATTTTCTGGCTAGATTGCTACCTTTCCCTTATCAACTTCTAGGCACAGAGTATATGTTAGGGATATTAGCCTTTTTCACGATATGAACTGTAAATATTTTTTATCATCTGTTAATTTTACTTTATCATTTCTAATTTTAAAATTATAAAGCCAATGTATCCATCTTTCCTTTAATGACAGGATTTTAACTCATAAGTAGAAAAGCCTTCACCAATCTGTTATAAAGGAATTCACCAGGGGTACCAGATTGCCAGACTGGCTCAGTCAGTAGATAGAGCATGCAACTCCTGATCTCAGGGTCATTTTGGGTGTAGAGATTACTTAAAAAAAGAAAATCTTTAAAAAAAAAAAAAAAAAAGGAATTCACCCATGTTTTCTTCCAGTATCTTTATGGTTTCACTTCTTAACATGTCAACTGGTTAGGGTGGTCTCCCCTAACGCCCTTGTCCACATTAGGGCTTCCTGTCCTTCTCCTTCCTGGCATTTCTCCCAATTGCAATTAATTAATTAGGATTACATAAGGTGTTGAATGTGCAAGTCCCCCAGTCGGCTGTCAGCTCCACCCACAAGGACTCAGGCTGATTTGCCCACCCCAGAGTCCCCACACAGATCTCAGATGGCAAAAGGTAGCACTGAGAAATGCTTGCTGAATGAGTCCTCTCCTTTCCCCAGTCCACCTCAGGAGACGTCTCCCACCCTCCTCACCACCCCTACAATGCTCCCACATGAAGTGGGTATCCTGAGTGAAGCAGGAACACAAAGTACTTCCTACTGAACAAAGACCAAAACACCCAAATTCGTCTTTCACCTTCCCCAGACATCTTATTACTCCACTGGTCATAGGGACTTTTCTGTGAAACTTGCTCTTTGCTAGGAAGCTTCTGGCCAGTTCCTCCAGCAGGAACTGAACCCTTCTCACCCCCATATTCACCTGCTCCTGGTGCAGCCTCTTAATCTCCTCCAGTTCCCGCTGGCTCCCTTCTTCCAGGTTCTTTCGGACAACCTCAGCCCCAGCCAAGGCAGCACGCAGGCCCTCAGCCTCAGCCCGACCGGCCTTCTCCGCCCGTGCCAGAGCCTCCAGCTCCATGGCCTGGGCCTCCAGCTTCATCTTCTGCTGCAATGAGGTCTCCCGCAGGACTCGGACCTCCTCCTCAAGCCGCCGCAGCTCTTGCAGCTGCCGATAGATCAGCTCAGCCTGCTGGCTCAGGGCCTGTGACCCCTCTATCTCCACAGACCTTCAAAGAGGTTAGCACAGGTGAGACCTGTCTGGTGCTGGGAGGGTGGTGGAGGTCACAAAGAGAGAGAGGAGGAGGAGGAGATGGGGGGAGGGAGGATGAAGGTGGGCCAGGGGAATCTCTGCATTTGCATCATCACTGTCATTTATCATGACCGTCCTAAGCATATTAGGCTCACAGTGGCACTCACAGGACCTAAAGGCTACTTGAGTTCACGGAACATGATCTCTTTTGAGCTACATACAGGCAGATGCATCAAACATGCACATCATTAGGCCCCACATTCTGAAATAGGGATTGGAAGACACCTAGAGACTTCTGAATTCTGATTTAAGGGTAAGGAAAAGTTGGAGGAAGTTTCAGAGAAAGACAGGTCATCATGGCTTCTAGTATCAATACAGTGAGACCAGGCACTAATTAAAAGCATTTATTGAGTGTTAGATATCCTGTATCTATCCTGTATCCAGGAGTCAACAGCACATTAATAAGTTACATAGACCACTGGTGTCTTGTAAAGTTTAAAACCAACTTATGATAACATGGATCTTGACACACCTCCTCCACTGAGGCCCAGAACCACAGGATTTTTCTTTTAAAATGGTGGGGATCAAAAATAATAATAATAATAATAATAATAAAAATAAAATGGGGATCTACAGCCTAGATATATATATGTGTATATATATATATATATATATATATATATATTTTAAGATTTTATTTATTCATGAGAGACACGGAGAGACAGATGTAGAGACACAGGCAGAAGAAGCAGGCTCCATGCAGGGAGCCTGATGTGGGACTCGATCTTGGGACTCCAGGATCATGCCCTGAGCCAAAGGCAGACACCTGACCACTGAGCCACCCAGGCGTCCCTACAGCCTAGAGATATTAACTGGCCAAAGGACCCTAGTTGGTAGCCAAACTAGCATCAGAGTCTCTGTCTCCTGATACCCACTCTGGGGCTCCCCTTTTCATCATCATGCTCCTTTCTCTTGGACCGGGTCCAAGGCAGACCCATCTGCAGCCCCACTCTAGAGCAAAATGGCAGAATGACATTCCGTACATTTGAGAAGAGACACATGACGAAATATCAAGAGTAAGAATCACAATTTTTATAGAAAAAAAACATTGGCAAATAGCACGGTCAGCTCTAAAGGCAAGTCCTCCATCAGAATCCACGCTACCATAGTACAGCCTATACTCCTGGTTTGTACTTCTCTCACCCTATATGTTGCTCATTGCTATCAGCTGCTGGTCAATCTACCTCTTCCCTTAGGGCTTTTAAATCATTGCTATCAGGATCTCATTCATTTTCATTATCCCCATCTGTAGCATCGGAGCACATTGCCTTATCCTTTATCCTATTATAAGCTCCAGGAGTTGCTTATGCAAAAATGCACAAATTAGGGAACTAAGGGCTGAAACAGGGTAAGGAATCTATTTCAGTGAAAAAGGGTCACTGGTTGGGATCCCTGGGTGGCGCAGCGGTTTGGCGCCTGCCTTTGGCCCAGGGCGTGATCCTGGAGACCCGGGATCGAATCCCACGTCGGGCTCCCGGTGCATGGAGCCTGCTTCTCCCTCTGCCTGTGTCTCTGCCTCTCTCTCTCTCTGTAGCTATCATAAATTAAAAAAAAAAAAAAAAAGAAAGAAAAAAAGAAAAAGGGTCACTGGCAAGCAAGCCCAAGAAAAGAGAAACAATGAATCCCTACCTGCCTCTCCGCCCTGGCTCCTGCCCATTGCCAGAAATATCCTGTTCCCACGTGATCACTTGAGGTCTCTGGTTGTCTGGCCGCCTCTCTGAGACATCTTGATGGGCTGAGGTTTGGACCAGGGGAATGTCTGAAACCCAGGTGGGAGCCATTCTTGGTACAGTTGGAAGGTGAGCTTGGAAGTGGGATGGGGGAATCAACCCAGTGGAACCTGAGGAATCACAAGGACACAGATGGTCGGTTTTCTAAGGAAAGGCAATCACCAGTCCCCTTGCCTGGGCCCACTGACCTGAAGGTTGAAACATCTCCACATTATCTGAAGTCTCTAGATTCTGTGTCCAGCCATCTATGTTTCCCTGGACAATAGGAGAAACAAGGACACCCCAGTTCAATTTTCAGGCCACCTTCCAAAGAGAAAGCCCCTACGATAACAAAGTCATAATCCTTTAGTAACTTCTCAAGAGAAGTAGGAAATACCCGAAGATCACTCGCTTGACCCAACCTCGTTCCTAATAGAAGAACTATGGCAATAACCATGAGATGGAGGTAATTAAGGCAGGCTGAGAGGAAGCTCTTAGACTTTACTCCTACTTTTAGAATTCTGGGAAGCCTTTACCCTCTTCTTTAAGTTTCTACGGCCTCTGCCTTTCCTTGTCGGAGGTGAGAAAGGAGGTACGCAGTGCAGGGACTGTGAGCCCAATCTCCAGAGTTTTCTCCATGGCTCAGCAAGGCCTTCTGGAAGCCCATCCAGACACCACCAAGCCATGACTCCTGGGTCCTTCCCTATTAAAGCACTGGCCCAAGGCCTGGGCCCAGATGAATGTGGCCACATGTAGGGCAGGACACCTCCCCCAGGTCCCCTGGGAACAGGCACCCGAGAGCCCTTGGCAGAAAAAACAATTTCCTGACATCTCATCCAGAGCCTTCCGGCCGCTGTCCTCAGTTTCTCTCTTCCATGCCCTCAGCTGCCATTCCTGCCGCCCACCGTCCTCTCTCCAGGGTCCAGAACACGAGAGGTCTTTTCAAGGTCTCCCTGCCCTCCCACCACAACGCACCTAGTCTCCCCTACCTGGGATTCCTATCACCCTCCCTACAGCCTCCTCTGCTTCTTCCTGAATCACTCTAGTCCCTCACTGCCGTATCCCGTCCCAACTGCACGCCCGCGGGCTCCCAGCTCTTTCCACTCCCGCGTCTCCCCCGATACCCGAGCCTTCCCCCTGCTGGACCCGGGGCTCTAAGGCCGTTGGGACCACTTCATCTGCTCCTTCCCCTGGTCCCTGTGCCCCTCTTCCCCTATGGACCCCTGAACCCACCCCCGAACCCCCGTCGGCCCCTCCCCGCCCCCCAACCGACTCTTCCCGAATGCCCCTTACCGAGCGCGAGGCCCTCCGCCCTCCGCCTCCAGCCACCACCCCCGGCCCTCGCCCCGGGCGCGGCCACCGCGCCTGCGCAGAGCGGGCGGCTCGGCGGGCCGCCGGGGGAGGGGGGAGGGGGGAGGGGGGAGGGGGAGAGCACGCAGGCGCAGTGGGGTCTAAAGCCCCAGGCCCGAGGGCGTGGGGGACGTCTCCGCGCGCCGGCGGCCCCTCCCAACTCCGGGAACCCGGGAAAACAGGAGAACTAATCAGGAGAGGCGGAAGGCGGGAAATCGGAGCTCCCCAGAGCGCCGGCCAATGGAGCGGCGGGGGGCAGCGGAACCGGCCAACCAGGAGGGCCGGGTGGCGGCTCGTCGCTCGGGCTCGGGCCGGGATCTCGGAAGGCGGCCCAGGCGCTGCCCGCGCCCCGAGGCCACGCCCCCGCGCCCCGGCCTCCCCGCTGTCAAACGGCGGTCGCGCGCGGGCTCGGCTGCAGCCGGAGGGGTCCCCGCCGCCGCACACGCGGGCGCTGCCTGCGGGGGACAGCACGAGGAGCCTGCACGCGGTAGGTGGGGCACCGGACAGGGCAGGGGAGGGAAGCCTGGGTTGGCCCTGACTGACCCCGGGAGCCCCTTCCCCTTTGCGCCGCGCCGGGAGAAGCCGGGAGGCCAGGGCTTGGCTTCGCTTTGCTGGAGAACCTAGGGACCGTTTGCACTGCCTGTTGGGGGACAGTGGGTTCGCCTCCCGCTGGGGTTGAAGGGAACTGGTTGTGAGAGGGAGTGGCCTGAAGGACCAGGCGGCGCGGGCGAGCAGGACGGCTACTCGATTTGGATAAGCAAGTCTGATAGGAAGCTTCTTTTCTACAAATTGCAGAGGTGACAGGGTAGTATGGTACAGAGCAGGAATCCCATACACCCATCTACAGACCGCATTTCCCTGGGAGGCGCCTAATGTGTTGTTGCCTTGCACAGATTGAGTCTCCTGAATACCTGGGGCAGCCTGAGGATCCGGCTCAACCAAAGTGCCACAGGACGTGTTCCTCTTTGCGCTGCACTGGGACCTTTCCTGAATTCTTCGGTTGCAAAGCTGCTTGACAGTTTTGTTTGTATCCCGTGCCTAGGCGCCCTGCACTCTGAATTTGCACTACTCAGGCCTGGGTTCTCCTCTGAGTTTTACCACTGATCCCTGGTACAAATTCAAGCCTGTGCTCAAAGTTGAAAAAAAGCACAAAGCAGCTCAAATTTGCGTCAGACAGAAAGTGAACTTAGGCCAGCGTGCATGGCTCAGGTGTGGGAGAGGTGATAGACTCCTGAAGTGGAAGAGGTGGTGCAGAGAGGGCACCACCCATGCTGCCCTGCTTCCAGCTCCTGCGCATAGGAGGAGGCAGGGGTGGTGATCTCTACACCTTCCACCCCCCTAACGGGGCTGGCTGCACTTATCGCTTGGGCTGTAGGGCCGACCTGTGTGATGTGGCCCTGCAGCCCCAGAGGGAGCCTGGCCTCATCTCTGGAGTCCATGCGGAGCTGCACGCTGAGCGCCGGGGTGATGACTGGAGGGTCAGCCTGGAGGACCATAGCAGCCAAGGTGAGCAGCCTTGCACCTGGGCAATTGCAGTTCTGGGCTGGAATGATCAAAGGGCTTCACAGGGACCCTGCCTGCCTCCCAAACGCCCTATCAGATTGGATGGACAGTTGTCTTGACCTGCATCTTCCCACTCAAGGTGTGCAGTGTCAGAAGCTCTCTGTGGGACTGGCCCCCAATGGTCGCTGCCTAGCTGGAAGCATTTAAACAGGGGCTGGGAGGTAGATGCAGGGCCTGCCATCATCAGGGAAGCATCATAATAGGGATGATCTGGGGTCTTGGGAGCCAAACTCAGATGACTCAGTTTCCAAATTTGTTGAGGCACCTGGTTTTTGTCTGAAGACGGTTATATGTTGGATTATGTTTTAATGATCAGGGCATAGGTCTTGCTCCTTGACTGGCAGGCATTTGTAGTCAACCTCAGAAGGCCTGGGAGAAGGCCTGGGCTTTGCTGCTGTCCCTTCACGTCTCTGGGTCTCGAGTTCCTCATAGGTATAATGTAAGGCTTTGTAAGGTCGGTTTCAGATGTGTTGTGGAGATTAGGTTAACATGGGAGCCAACATTCATTTAGTGCTTACTGTGGGCACCAGGTACTGTTCTAAGCACATCGAATGTCAGTGAACACTAATATAGTCCCCATTTTACAGAAAATAAACGTTAAGCATAGCTTAATTTTCAGGTGACATAGCTGGTAAGATAGAGCCAAGATCTCAACCCAGACAGTCCATGGTATGCCATTAACTGTTTTTGTGTTAGAGCTGGGTGAGAAATATGTCTGAGGATGGCACCTCAGCAGAGTGAGGGAAGGAGTCCATTCCTTCCATATGCCTTGTGGGACGGCATAAAAAATAAACTTGTTCTCAACTCACTAGGAGCTTAATATCTGGCGTCACCTGTTGAGGGACTTCAGGTGTTGAGAAGTTGATGACAAGGGTCATGTTCTCCTCCCTCATGTTCCCCAGAAAAGCAAAGGAGGCCAGATTTCTCCTCTCCTGACTCTGGTCATTTCTGTTTTTGTCATTCTCTGTATCTGTCTGGTGCCCTGCCATCAACAGGGACTCTGGTCAATAATGTCCGACTCCCAAGGGGTCACAGACTGGAGTTGAATGATGGAGACCTTGTGACTTTTGGCCCTGAAGGGCCCCCAGGAACCAGCCCTTCAGAGTTCTACTTCATGTTTCAGCAAGTCCGAGTCAAACCTCAAGATTTTGCGGCCATTACCATCCCGAGGTCTAGTGGTGAAGAGGGAACTGGGACTGGCTTCCAGCCTATGCTGCCCCCGCAAGGGGCCCCAAAGCGCCCCCTCAGCACCCTTTCCCCTTCCCCGAAAGCCACGTTGATCCTCAATTCCATCGGTAGTCTCAGCAAGCTCAGACCCCTTCCCCTCACCTTTTCCCGGAGTGGGGGTGGGCCACAGAACCTGCCTGTTCCCACTCCTCCTAGGGAGGTGGGGAGTACCCCTTCTGACCCACCCCCAAGAAATCGGAGGAAATCAGCTCACCGAGTGTTGGCAGAGCTGGATGATGAGGGAGAGATTCCTGAGGCCCCCCCAGTCTTTATGGAGCCCAGAAAGAAACTCCGTGTAGAGACAACCCCACAGACACCTGCTGGGTAAGTGGAGAGAACTTTCTCAATTTTAATTCCTTTTTTATTCTTTTTTAGTGCCCTGGGCTGGGAGGTGGCCCTCTGCTCTGGGGATAGGAATGGGGATGGGAATAGGAGGTGGACAGAGGTGGAACAGATGTTGGACTGGGAAGACCTGGGTTAGCTCTACTGTTGAGGTTCACCATTGGTCCAGTGAGTCTATCTAGGTTCCCTCTAGGATTACCCTGGGGAAAGTTCTAGGCTTCTACAGGTTTCTAGTGACCCTGATTTTTGTGTCACTTTCTTCAGCAATCGACATGGATGCCCTTGGAAGCACCCAGTGAGCACTCCCAGGGCTCCACCTGCAGCTGGGGGCGAGGAGCCCTGTGCAGCCACTTGTTGCTACCTACCCCAAGAAGAAACAGTTGCCTGGGTTCAGTGTGACGGTTGTGATGTCTGGTTCCATGTGGCCTGTGTTGGCTTCAGCATCCAGGCTGCCAGGGAGGCTGACTTCCGGTGCCCAGGGTGTCATGTAGGCATCCAGACTTAAGGCCCACCACCAGGGTACCAGAGGACAGGGAGCCAGCACCTCCAGGCCAGGGGTAGACAGTGGAGCACCGATGGATCCTAAGAAATGCTCCCATCTTCCCTTGCCTCCCTGGGAGGGAATGACTACAGGGGATCGTGCCCATTACTATGGACACTGATTCAAGGCCGGAAGCAGGCCCTCATGGGCACGGTGACAGAAGAGATGGTTTCCTGCCAAAGATATTGTTGCCTCCGGAAGTTGCAAGCTGGAAATTCCATTACAAGCTGTAGGTAGGTCCTTGTCGTCGGAGGCACTAGAGTGTCTGGTCAGAGCACCCGTCAATTGCAGAGGCCATGCCTGGGCAGACTTGGAACAAACAAGCGCTTAATGTTCTTGGATGGCATCACTAAGGCATACTGGGAAAACCCAAGACATGACCTCAAAGCTTTTACATTGTGGGTAAACCACTGACACAGACCATGATCTTGAACTGGCTTTTCAGAGCTTTGCTTCTATTTCCAAATAAATAAGCAGCTTCATTCAATCCTAGACATTTATTCTTTTTCCAGGTCTGACACTCCTGGCTTTCCAGTTCTTGAAAGAATGGTATGGTCTGGAAAACTAATGGACTCTTAGGGGAAGAGATGAGCAAAGCACAGAGAAATGTGAACCTGCTCACTTGAAATAGAATGGGCTGGAGGTGGGAGAATGGAGAAGAGGTACCTAAGGTTCCTATTTTATTTCATTTTTTTAAGATTTTATTTATTCATGAGAGACACAGAGATGAGAAAGAGAGGCAGAGATACAGGTGGAATGGGCTGGAGGTGGGAGACTGGAGAAGAGGTACCTAAGATTCCTATTTTAAAGGAAAAACAGGGCAGCCCTGGTGGCTCAGCAGGCTTATTAGCACTGCCTCCAGCCCAGGGCGTGATCCCGGAGATCCGGGATCGAGTCCCACATCAGGCTCCCTGCATGGAGCCTGCTTCTCCCTCTGCCTGTGTCTCTGCCTCTCTCTCTCTCTCTCTGTCTCTATGAATAAATAAATAAAATGTTTAAAAAATAATAAGAAAAAGAAAAACAGATCCACTGTCTTAAAGTAGATGAAATTTGGTCAAGTTCTTGAGGATGGTGGAACCTTTACAAATTTCACCCCTACTATTATAGAAGAGAGAAAACCTGGTACACCAGGTAGAGCAGATACTGACTTTATTCAGCATGAATGAGCCTAACCCATGTACAGTTAGCCAAGCCAACA